TTCTATGGTCAATACAATGACCTTGTCAGCAAATATAATTTATCATTGAGTCAAATGCTGACTGGCGTTCAACTGATTGATAGGCTATTGTTTACGCAATTAATTGACGACGTATTTTTTCCCCGTCATTACCCTATCATGACAAAGAGCATACGGCGGGTTTGACCGGTCGGAAGGGGATGGTCACTTCTCCATGACACCTGATTCCACCTTTGATGTTTTAGACGTCCGATTTTGCGTCGCGCTTATTTTGTATTTTTATGGTCTTTTGAGCTTGGATACTGTTCGTTACCTCCATATATTTCATTTTAGGAGTTAGATTTATGTAAGTCCAAACTCTACACTGTAATTAAAAATAAACCCAAATACAAACGGACGGCGCAGTGTTGGTGCACTGAGTCTTTTTTGGTATTATTCTTTGCATTGCAGATTCAAAACGATGGAATTATAAGTATTTTTTGAAGACAAACTGCGAAATGGTTCACTAGAAACATGATACGCTTCGAACTTAATGAAAAGGAGAAGTCACCAGAGTAAAGAAATTTACTTGTTAAAATGTTACTATGCACTAGCATGAATTATATTACTAAATCATTTTTATTTTTTTCATGTGTTTATTTGTACTACTGATAATCATAACCAAGCTAGAATTTTCACTGCTTCGATCCGGCTTGTTTATCGTACTATATAGCATGTATAGGTATGCATCAAAAGATCGAAAGTTAATATAAGGTATGTCACTCATGAAATTTGTTGTATCAAGGAATATTGATAAGTACTCATATAGTATTACTCAAAATCTCCTAGAAAATAGGGGGTCATTGTGAATCTTACTGAGATAGGGTACAATTAAATTGTTCTTTTTCATGTTTTTGCGCTTAAATTTTATCTCTTTGGTTATTCACTTTAACCTTTATCATATTTTATCGGAGGCACATGTAACCATGGCAATAAACATAATATTATTTATTGTAAAATACTTTGATCAATATCTATCATTATCTTCTTGCATAAATCTTTTTTAGGACTTAAGTGCTGTTCAGTCACAAGTATCGACTTAAAATGTAATAAATGTACAGATTTGCAGAATTTTCTGCTAAATATCATTCCATCACAGGAAATAGTCCCTGATAAAACTTGGTTCCTTAATTTTCGAGCAGTTTTTTCATTGAATGTTGAACAGTTTACATTGTTTTATTTAAATATGTTATAAAAATTGAATTATAATAAATAGTTTAAAATAAGAGGTTCTGCATGAACTTTACCAAAATTTTGACGAGTGGCCTACCTTAATGGTTTCTAAAAGTGTCCAACAAAGTATGCAAGTGATACATAAAGACTAGTAGCTAGATGTCAATCAATTTGAAGCACGCAATGAAGGACCTTAATTCACTTGATTAACGAGGGTATAGGGTCCAGGTTAATTTGGGGTGGTGCTTATTATTGCGGGTTTTGACCCTTTTAATAATGTTTAAGGGACACATATCGTGTCTATTTTATAAATATCTTTAGCAAAATGCTGATTTTTAATTCTATTTATTGTACATTTTTATCTTTTATTTTAAAGCATATGTACGTGTTCGATGATTTGGTGAGAATCATAAAAAATTACTACGGAGTCCTTATGTTGCCAACTTCTCTCATTTTTTCGATATACATGCATGAAGCTCTGTGGAAGACGTAATCTGACAGATACACGTCTATTTATATCCTCTAATTCTGACAATGTTGAAATATATTATAATTATATTTTAAATATTACATATTAAAATATATTCACAAAATAAAAAAAAATATTGTTAATTACCTTCATGGGACCAATGCATGAAGAGAGGAGTCGTAGTGTTAGTATTTCCTTTATTGGGTTTGGCTTAAAAATAAAATAAAATGAAAAATAAGTATTTTGGTTCAAACGCCTATGATATCATGAAAAATAAAAATGTTTCAATTCGTAAAGATAGAGGGATTTATGAGTTGTTCAAATAATTGCAATAGCATATTTTCTTGATTTCTTTTTAATTCCTTATTTCTCTGGACACTATTTTAGTGGGTATAATTGTTGACTTTTGCTTAATGTATAATAAAAGACAAAAAAAATATGAACTTTTTTTGACAAAATCTACAGCTCTTAGCACAATTCTCTCTAGCCCAAGAGTCTCTTTGATGTCAACTTCAGAACACTTGTGTGTACAATCAGAATTTTTTTTAGCAAAATAATTTTGCAAATGACCAATGACCAGGTAAGTAAATTTACGAGTTCCATTTTCATTGAAGAAGCAGCTGTCAATGATGTCAAAGAACCTGGATTTCAATTTATCGTGGAGAATGGTTGTGTATAAAGTTGGGTAAAATCTTGTGATTTCAGATTGTCCAAAAGTTCTTTGGAATTTTTTAGTATCCACTTCTGATTCACACCACTTTTTGAATATATTTTTGCACTGTACTCTTGAAGTTTTTCCTTCACTACGGTCAATATTTTAGTGAGGAGTAACAAAAGAGGCTTGGTTGAACATTTACTGGAACCCGCAATGTATCTTTGTTTGTAAGAATTCTTATGAAGTTTCGGAATCCAATATATATGTAGGACTCCAAAGTGCGATGGGACTCAATAGTGCGATGTTCACGCCAAAGTCCGATGGTCTGCGCCAATCCGCGATGGTTTCAAACGCCAAAGTCCGATGGCTCAGAAAACAATTAACGTATATGACGTCATAGTACTAATGTGCAAAAATGCGATGCCACGCCATGCCAATAAATAAATACAAAATATCATAAATAGAAAGACTGATCCTCGTCTTTTGGATGTAGGTGCAAACTAAGACTTATCAGTCAAACAATGAGTATCAACTCTAACCTAACTATCACAGGTGGGTGCAGGACTAATCTAAATCAGTCCAAAAGTGTGCGAGGACTAACCCTAAAATAGCTCGGGTGGCCTCGAAGAAACATCTTAGTGTTTAAGGACTAACCCTTATAACTCGAATGGTGTACGAGGACTAACCCTAATACCTCTGGTGGGTGAAAACAAAAAGCAATATCAGTAAAAACGTATATGTGAGACGAATGCTGATTCAAAGGATTTTGAGTGCAGAATAATGTCATAACGTCGGACTATTGTGACGTCATAAACGTTAATTGTTCCTCCCCTAACAAAAAATACTATAGTTAACTATAGTTAACTATAGTTTACTATAGTTAACTATAGTAAATCAAAGTGTCAAAGTTTCGCCAAAGTTTTTCAAAGTGTCAAAGTTTTTGCCAAATTTTTTTAAAGTGTCAAAGTTTTCGCCAAAGTTTTTCAAAGTGTCAAAGTTTTCGTCAAAGTTTTTCAAAGTGTCAAAGTTTTCGCCAAAGTTTTTCAAAGTGTCAAAGTTATCACTATAGTACATCAAAGTTTTCAAAGTGTCAAAGTTATAACTATAGTTAACTATAGTTAACTGTAGTATTTTTTGTTAGGGTCCGCAAGATCGGATTTTGTGTATAACCATAGTTTAACTATAGTTAACAGGAAATAAGCCATCGAACCGTGGCGTCCGTGAAGACAACAAACCATCGGGGTTTGGCGCAGACCATCGGGGTTTGGCGAGACCATCAGACTTTGGCGTCACCATTGAACTTTGGAGTCTTACATATATAAGGTAGTTCAAATTCATTTTGGCTCTGTGAGATATTAAAAATATTCAAAACCGACATATGGTTGTGAAGAATGTCTTCCTTAGAAAGGGAAGTATGAGTATAAGTAGGATTACCACAAGTAGAATTAAATCCAAAGTTCTTCTAGAATACAATTTATATAATGAGCCTTACAACGAAGACAATATTGTTACCTGCTTTGTCGGCAGGGACCAGTACGTAATGATCATGTAATCTATCTGATTCTTTTTTCACTTCTAATTTTTTGAACACAGCTGGATAGAAGGTTTTTATATTGCCCCTCAGTCTTTTAATACGTGACTTTAACATGGATCTGATACACTTAATCCATTCTGACAAGGTATCAACGTCTTCTTTTTCATATCTGGCCCATCGTCTGGCGTATTTTTTAACAGAATCCATAATATTAATGCAATTCGGACGCCAGTTGAAGGATCGGGGTACCCTATATTTAGGACCTTTTAACACAAGTGACCGAAGGTCCTCATTATTAACTATATTTACGTCCCCCGTAATAACGTGTCCAGCAGGACTATAGTGATAGGGTGAAGAAGAACATGAACACGATGGAGGATTATGTTTCAGATGCTCTGTATCCAAACCATGTAAAGTGTGTTTGTAATTGAACAGTTTGGAAGCAATCGTCGATGTGTATTTGTAGGAAATACAAGATTGAAATATATTGGAATACAAGACTGGACCCTTTTGTGATTAAGAATATTACTTATATTAACTGTGTCAATTCCTTTATTGGCATATTAAAGTTTAAGGAAAAGACGGACTTTCCTTGGCCTTTTCAAGAAGACTATATAAAAGTTTCAAAGGGACAGAGTAAAGTTTGGTGCGAATATGATGTAGACCTAAATGTTGATTTACATAAGGTAGTAAAGAATCAAAAGAGACGTCACATATTGCAGGTTTAGAAAAATCGCCACGGTTAAAAAATTGTATTGTCATTTTCTTTTCATTTTTTGAATCATAATGAGTTTATGCCATATTCACGACATTCTATACAGTATATACAGTAATCACAAAGGTGAGAGAGTTTGTAGCATAAATACATGTATAATGCAAAGTAAACCAATAAAGAGAACCAAAAATAACTTTGTCAATCTGTATGCGTGTATATCAATATATAAATTACAATATGTGTGCATAAAAAGGTATCTATTTCATTCATAAACTATATAAAACATATATACAGAACTATATCAATTTTAATTATGTCATCATATATTTAACTTCAAAGTTAAATCTATATTATGAATAACTATGATCTATAAAATAATTTAAAAAAAAAAAGTATTTTCATATTATCTGCTACCAGATTACAATCATTGACAGAACTAGTGATTAAAATCGTCAGTGATATAGTCTTTTCTTTGTATGTATCTGTAAACACATACGGTGCTGCGATGATCGGTTGCTCCAACATAGAGAAGGTGATTTTTGATGTCATACGCCAGACCCCCTGATACTGTTATCTCGTTTTCTTCGGTGAACAGCAGTGATAAGAAGTTACCGTTTTTGTCAATCATTTGAATTGTTTTGCTTTTAGCATCACACACCAGGATATGTGATAGTGCGTCTACACAAACACCTTGCGGATATATTCTTGACCATGATGAAGGTCCTGTGTAAGAGAAACGATGTGACAGTGCGTCTACACAAACACCTTGCGGATATATTCGTGACCACGATGAAGGTCCGGTGTAAGAGAAACGATGTCTTCCTGTACGACTTGTCACTACTACACCATGGTTCAAGTCAGAAACGATTACATCTCCATTATGGTTCTCGGTTATATATTTAGGAAATTTGTACAGTTTCTGACCCTTTTTATTGTGTTCAATGTTATGACATGATATTCCTGAGTAATCAAACCTCATTACTTTGGCGTCTGTATATATATGATTATCCTTATCATACTCCACCATCCCAACCAGTAGATCTGCACTGGAAGGAGAATAGTAAACACACTCTGCCATCCATGGTTCTCTTATCTTTCTTATAGTATATTGCGTTATTTTGTCTTTATATAACTTGTTAATGTTGTGGTATCCGTCAATATAAATGAGATCCCCATCATTAGTTACACAGTGTCCTCCAGTATAACTCATTGTATTTGGCACAGTATGTAGGGAGGCACCTGTTGTGTTTGTTAAGATGATACGGCCGTATTGATCACTTAACCAAACAATGTCTCTTGTAAAAAAAGAAATGTGGCGAACCACAATAGTACCTATCATTGATAAAGATTTCTGTAACACAGGTTTATGCATCAGACCAAGCAGCTGTTTTTTTCTGACTTGACGATTCTTTGCCTCTGTGACTTGGATTTCTCCTAGTAACTTAATTACATCCATCCTGTTGATTATACAATTCAAGGATAATAGAATTGTATCAGGAATGCCCCTGACCCTTGGGATAGGGGTTTTCTTTAGACACATAATGAAGAGTATAGGCTTGTCTAATACCTTTTCTAAGTTGTATAAACTTATTTCTGTGTTGATAATCTTTCTTTTTGGCTCTTTTAATCTAAATTTAAGTAACCGTTTAAACTGTTTCAATTCATTGACATTATCTACTACTAGATCCTTCAGTCTCAAAGTTTTTATCGTCATGCCTTGGTGGAGGCCAGATAAAATTGATTGACAAATTTCCTTACCCATTTTAATATCGTATTTAATTTTTTTAAGAATAGCAAGGTTTTTTAATATTATGTTATTTCTTATGTGAGCTATCCTGTGTTTTTGTCGATCTCTGCACATTTTATAAGCTGAGACAATATTCACAATTGCATGATTTTGGTGTTCATCACACTTGACACAGACTGGAAATTCACATGACATACACCAGTATTCTACAAATCGGTCTCCATGTCTTTCACAATACTCTTGTATCATAGAGTCGTCATACTTTAAGCGGTCAATCACTACCTCGTGGTATTTGGTGTCTAGATCTATAAAATGTTTCTCCTTACAAAGAACGCACAGATCTTCTCTACATGTTTTACAATAGAATTCTACGTTCCCTTCACACCGAAAACAATGTGGAACTTTCAACTGAGCGTGGACATCGTTATGCATGATTCACAATAACATGTGCTCCCGGTTTATTGCATTTTCGATTTTCTCTCTATGTGTTTATTGCTCTGTCCCTACAACTTAAAAAAAAATAAAAATTAATTTTTTATCATGTTTTTAAGTCCTGTTTTCCAGTTTAGTTGTCCTATTCTTTTTCGAAATTCTGAGATTCTTTATAGACATTCACTACTTAATTACATCATGTAAATATCCATCTTTTATGCTAAGATGTAAAATACCTCTTTCGTCCTTCAGTCGCCTTTCAGAGAAATTTCCGACGTAATTCAACGATATTCTGTCTTTTTTTTCATCATGTATCAGTAATTATTCTTCAATTAGCAATTTAATAAAATTATCCATATCTTTAATAAATGTGTTTCTGTTATTGTTATTGTGAAATAAACATTTGGGTACGTTGAACTTGTAATAGTTAGATATTCAGCTGTCTTTAAAATGTTTACAAAAAAAAAATTAAGAGTTAAAAACTTCATATCTAGATTTCACATAGCTCAAAACCATCCTCAAGCAATCTCTTCAAAGCGGCTAATACTAAACTCAATTAAGCCACCATTCAGCTGCAGTTTATATGTGCTTAAAGTCCATTTTCATAAAGCTATTATTAAGTCAGCTTTAATCTTTTGATAAATGTTTATGATTATTAATGTGAACAAACACAGACCTCCGAAACATCAGAGTGATCAGGTGCCATGAAGGAGTCAGCATCCCCTGCTGACCGGTCACACTCGCCGTGTGCTCCTTGTCATGATCGGTAAATATCGGAAAAATCCGTCGTCAATTCAGTGTATAAATAATGGACTAACAACTATAGTATGAAAAATGTCAGTCAGCATTTGACTTAATGATAAATTGTATTTGCTTACAAGGCAAATGCGCAAAAGAAATTCGAAGAATTTTGATTTTACATGTCACTTGAAATGGTCAATTTGTTTTCGTTTAAGACAAAAATAATCAACACATGTAGACGAAATATTTTGCGATGGAAGAGAATTAATATACACTGTTGCTGGTTGTTTTTGTAGAGTTTCCTGCAAGTTGCTGGTTTCCGAATTATGTTTCATTCTATGGTAATATAGCATACTTGTAGTTCCACCCGTATACGACAACTGCAACTGACATAATTTGCATTTGACAGATTTCGATTCAGTCGTTTTTTAAAAATATATCCACGCTTCAAATGTTTGCGACGGCATCTTGTGACAGTATCTTCCTCTGATTATCACAGGTTTAAACTAGGTAATTAAAACTCAGGTCTTCAAAACATGTATCCCCCTGGTAATCAAAGTCATCAATTATATACGCTGTGAAAACTAATCAAAACAAATCGATCACAATTGTAAACCAGTATCAGTTGATCATCAAAATTTGTGACTGTACGAGGGTCATTCAAAAAATACGTAGACAATGTCCTCCATCATCATATAATTCTTACAAAATTCAAGATCAGCACATTTTCAAATGTAAAAACATTTATTTTGTCAGTGTGCAAAGTTTCATTCCTTTTGATTAAATGGAACTCGTGTTAGACAATTTTCAAAGCAACATGTTTTGTAACCACGTAGCACGGTTAACAATACTGTGACGTCAAAAACAACGTCGACGAGAAAGTTTCTCAAAATTACTAAGCCTTTTCATTACATACACCGTTTGTAGCTTCTTCCCAATTCATCAGAACATATCCATAGCCCTTGATATCTAGTTCGCTAACAATTAATTGAATATACCTTAAGGTAAATTCTCAATGTTTTCAAATTATTTATTGTGAAACTCTTGTTTGCACAAGTTCCGCAAAAGTGAATCGCACATCACGTTACATGACGTAACTAACTACATGTACTTGACAATTTTTATTACTATCATTTGTTTCTTTGCAGACCATTCAGGGTCCGATTCCAAGTCTCTAACACTCAAAAAGTAGTTATTTCAATTATAAAAAAAATGCATAGCACTTTTTGTATCTATTTCCTGGTTTCAGAGTTTGTTTTAAAGGCCTCCCGAATACAAGGCAAAATTTGATCGCTACCGGCTGCTCCGTGACGTCCTTTGACGTCATCGTTTTTTGGTTCTTTTCATGAAGTTTACCTGCCTTTAGAAATTGATATCTTTTAAACAAAGCGATGTATTACATTGAATTTCAGCATCTGGAGAAATAGAAGGATACTAAAGTTAAACATTTCAATTTTATTTCGTTTAAGCGCCATTTATTAGAGGTATGGCTCTAGACATTATAAAGTGTAGAATTAGTAAATAGCTCAATTTTGACCCTGCTCCGTGACCCCATTTTTGCTGTATTAAATCTTTGATAATTTTGATAATTATCAGAATATTTTCCAATTTTTTTGCTCAAATTATTTGAATTTGTTGTTAAAATATGTGTACTAAATTTGGTTATAATATGACATTAAATAAAAAAGTTATGACAAAAGTCTACGAACTTTTTGAATGATCCTCGTACATTATGTATAGTTTCATGTTAGCTGAACAGGGACTTGAGGGGGCCGGGACATCTAATTAGGGTCCATTGTGTATCTGGTCAATAATCTACCGGGGTCACTCTTTTATACCGTCACTGAACATGGTTCATTTAACATTCCTAAATGTACATAAATCTGAGCGAATGTCATCTTTAATATCATCGGTTGTCCTTCAGAAAATTGATTTTAAAAAACAATTTTTAAGGACAAACTCTAATTGGATAAATTCTTAGTTTTGCATTATCTAAAAAAATTTACATGCATCTTCAATAGAAATAAATCAAAATATTCATGATAGAATTTAATGTTTGGCAATACAATCTTTACCTGAAAACTTTAACTTTTCTATCGCCAATTTCCCTTACTTATGCAGCTATATACCTTCATCACCTACATACAGAGTGAATATATCTCAGTTGAGTTGATACGCAAGAACATGCTCTATGTATGAGCAATTTTTAAAACGAGGTAAATTATTGACAAACAAATTGATGAAACAGGAATATCAGCAGTCTCGTTTAAAGTCATCATTTCAGAAGTTCTATGGTCGACACAATGACCTTGTCAGCAAATACAGTTCACCATTGAGTCAAATGCTGACTTGCGATGATCATACTTTTTGTTAGTCCATTATTTATACACTGAATTGACGACCGATTTTTCCGTTATTCCCTGATCATGACAAGAAGAACACGGCGGATGCGACTGGTCAGCAGGGGATACTCACTCCTCCATGGCACCTGATACCACCCCTGGTGTTTTGGAGGTTCGTGTTTGTTCTGCTCCTATTTTATATTGTTTTATGGACTTTTGATCTTGAATACTGTTCGTTATCTCCATGAGTTTCATTTCATATTAAGAAATTATAATTCATTTATGGACTCATAAATTTGGACTATATTTGGTAAGAGCCAATTTTGGCCCCCTAAAAATCAGCATTTTAAAATGACATTCAGATATGTTTAAGTGATATTTATTTTGTAGAAGGGATTATATGAGATATATTTCCGATATATATTTCACATTTATATGCACTCACTGGCTGTAAATGATGACGGAAATAACAATTTTTATATATCTACACAAAAAAGCTAAAAATACGTCTTTTTCTTGATGTTTTTTTTTCATGAGAAACATAGAGCGCATTGTAGAACATGCATAATTTTTCTGTCAGTAATTAGTATTGGATAGATACATCTTTGGTAAAAAATTAAAGTATGTTCTAGTTTGCGCTCAATATTTTCTGGAAGAAAAACTGCTTGAAAATAAGCAGTTTTCTACAAAATATGCAAAAACTGCGGGAAAACATGAACTTTATGACGTCATATTTCTATATAAACGGCATTATGATCAAATTAAAAATTAACAATAAAGGTAGCATGTATAGCTGTGCAAAGTAAAGCTATATATAAATTAAAAGTAAGATATTCATGTTAGGGGGCCATTTGAGACACTTACCATATATTGCTCAAAAAAGTTCTCGAATTTTTTATTTGTTGCATGAAATTTGATTTAGATACACAAATTTATTTAAATGTCAAATTTAAAGATAATAGTCGAATAACAGTATCAGGATGAATAACTGACACTGACATAGATTTGTCGTATTTAACTCACTGTAAATTCTCTCAATCAGTTTTAAATATTTTCACAAACTTAATCAAGGATGCGTCTGATAAAAAAATTGATGATATCGGTGAAAATGCTCTTAATATTAATCACCAAAAAAAAAAAAGAAAAAGAAAAAAAAATTCTTCGATGTTTTTTCATCTGTATCATAATTTTTCATTATTCTTAGGTATCATGGCTAATGCGGTGAGATTTCCTGTAAAAAATCTTAGTAAATAGAGAGCATGTTATATCTGCTTCTTGCTGAAGCATCTTCAAATTGTAAATATTGTTTTTCACGTATTAGAAATAAGAAACCAAGTTCTTTTTCTTGATAGTTATTATTTGACACAAAAAACATTAAGATTGACATTAATAAAATCCAGCTAGCATCATTAGATTTAATTTGTCTAGTTGACATGAATAGCTGATAAATCG